TTTAACCTACATAAAGTGGCTGACTTGATTATTGAGTTACCGAGTGTGTTAGTAGTCTGTTACAGTGGCTGATGTGATTATTGAGTGACTGAGTGTGTTAGTAATAAGTCCACTGCTGTATGGTTTGTGTTTTTGTTTAACGACATTTATTGATATTTACTCGGAACATTAACAATTTGTAGAACTTGTAAGTCGAAGAAATGAAACGATTTTGTTAACAGTAAGTGGAATGGACTTTTCGGTATGTTTTACCGAATAATCCAAAAGAGTCCAGCCAACAAAAAAGCCGCCATAACACCGAATAGAAAATACAAGCTTATTATATTGTTGTACTTAAAGATTATATTATTCAGATAGTATACCATGCAATGACAACGGTTCACAAAACAATCAAGAAACATTGGTATAAAAACACGATATATTTTAAAACCCACCATAAGAAAAACCTTACCTAAAAGCCTCCTACAATATAAATAATCATCCTTTAGTTTCTGTTCAAACGCTGAACTTAGTAAGTGTTTGTAGGCCCGTACGCAGAATGTTTGAAGGGGTGGGGGGTTCTAATTTGTGAGATCAAAAGGCATTATGCGAAGAACAATCAGCATGCTAATATGATGGAGGTCTGTTACGAAATAGGTGCTTCATGAGAAGAATGTCGAAAACGTTAAATACGATAAGTAGCTGTGCTATAACTATATAAGCATAACAAGTAAATAATAAATCATTATGTAGGTTAATTAAACTTGTTACAGTGAACCAAATAACTAATATATATATATGTAGGTTAATTAAACTTGTTACAGTAAACCAAGTAAATAATAAATCTCCATGTAGGTTAATTAAACTTGTTACTGTAAACCAAGTAAATAATAAATCTCCATGTAGGTTATACTTGTTACAGTAAACCAAGTAAATAATAAATCTTTATGTAGGTTAATTAAACTTGTTACAGTAAATCAAGTAAATAATAAATCTTTATGTAGGTTAATTAAACTTGTTACAGTAAACCAAGTAAATAATAAATCTTTATGTAGGTTAAACTTGTTACAGTAAACCAAGTGAATAATAAATCTTTATGTAGGTTATACTTGATACAGTAAACCAAGTAAATAATAAATCTTTATGTAGGTTAAACTTGTTACAGTAAACCAAGTAAATAATAAATCTTTATGTAGGTTATACTTGTTTCAGTAAACCAAGTAAATAATAAAGCTGTAACAGACTACTAACACACTCGGTAACTCAATAATCAAGTCAGCCACTGTAACAGACTACTAACACACTCAGTAACTCAATAATCAAGTCTGCGACTGTAACAGACTACTAACACAGTAACTCAATAGTCAAGTCTGCCACTGTAACAGACTACTAACACACTCGGTAACTCAATAATCAAGTCAGCCACTGTAACAGACTACTAACACACTCAGTAACTCAATAATCAAGTCAGCCACTGTAACAGACTACTAACACACTCAGTAACTCAATAATCAAGTC